ATGACAGGCAGGCTGGGAGCATGGCCTGTGCCTGATCTAACCCCCTGGTCCCACCCCCAGGGCAAGCACTGCATCCTTGACGTCTCAGCCAATGCTGTGCGGCGGCTTCAGGCTGCCGGGCTCCACCCAATTGCCATCTTCATCCGTCCCAAGTCCCTTGATAACGTCCTGTGAGTGCTGTGGGGGCAGGGCTTTGGGGGGCAGGGCTTCAAAGGAGACATGGGGGCGGGGCCTCTGGGGCAGAGGCGAGAGGAGGGACCCAGTGGGAGCACAGGGGTGGGGTTTGCCCAGGTGACCTGGGAACAGGAGGGCAGAGCCTGGGGGGGCGGAGCCTGGGATGACCCCGCCCTCTCCCTGGCCCTGCCCCCATAGGGAGATCAGCAAGCGCATCACAGAGGAGCAGGCGCGGAAGGCGCTGGACCGGGCCGGGAAGCTGGAGCAGGAGTTCACTGAGTGCTTCTCAGGTGAGACCCCTCTGGCCTCCCACAGTGCCCCTGGGCTCCCCGACCTCTCCCTCGACCTCTTCTGTCACCCCCTTGGCTTGGCAGTCCTCCATCTCATTTTGGCTGCCATCTTGGCCGCCTTCCTTCTTTTGTCCGGCCCCCTTGGGTTGGCTGACCTCTGACCCTTGCCCTCCTCTGACCACAGGGAGCTCCCTTGGCTTGGCTGTTCTCCACATTTTGTCTGCTATCTTGTTTTGGCCATCATTTTTGCTGCCTTCCTTCCTTTGGCCGACCCTCTTGGATCACCTGACTTCTGACCCCTGCCCTCAGCTGAGCTCTGACCACGGGAAGCCCCCCTGTCTTGGCCATTTTCCACCTTGGTTTGCCTGCCATCTTGTTTTGGCCACCGTTTTGGCAGCCTTCCTTTATTTGTCTGGCCCCCTGGGTTGGGGAGACCTTGGCCCCTTGGCTGACCTCTGACCCTTCTCTGCAGCTATCGTGGAAGGTGACAGCTTCGAGGAGATCTACCACAAAATCAAGCGGATAATAGAGGAACTTTCCGGGCCGTACATTTGGGTCCCAGCCCGGGAAAGACTCTAAGATGGCCGCCTGGTGACTCTCCCAAGGACGTGTCATGACCTCCTAGAAGCAGCCCTGCCCCCCTCCTTTCTTCCCAGCCCCATAAAATCCCGTCCCCGGGGAGGGGGGCAGGACTCCTTTTTCTTCCATCCCCCTTGGAGGGGCTTAGCCAATGGGGTGCCCCCATTTCCAGCCCCATGGGTTTTCGGCTCTTCCCCCCACCCATACCCCAAGATTTGGAGGGAATGGGGCTGGGGGAGTGGTGGGAACCCATGGCTGGGATGGGGGTGTCCAGGAGGAGATGGTGGACCATTGGCCAATAGAGAACAGGGACGGCGGGCTGTTGTCACAGCAGTGGAGATGGGATGATCGGCCAACAGAGGATGAAGACAGGTTGGCGGGGAGATGAGAGGATTGGCCAATGGAGGTGTCACTGTCAAAGAGGAAAGAGGATTGGCCAATGAAGATGATTGGTCGTCGTCAAGGAGACAACGGGTGATTGGCCAACAGGGAAGAGAGGTAAAGAATCACCATTGAGAAGATGGCAGACGATTGGCCAATCAGGAACAGCAACAGTTGGCCAATGGTCAATGGAGATCAACCGTAATCAAGGGAGATGATTGGCTAGCAGGGGCTGGCAACAGGCTGTCACCATGGCAATGGTCGGCACTTGGCCAATCAAGAGTGAGAACAGCAACGACCCACCTCCCTGTGACCTCTCCATTGCCACTAATGGAATCCCATTGGAGTGACTGCACCCTGGGGGCAGGGATTAGCTCCTCCTCTCCTCCCTGCCCCCAATTTTGGTTGGAGGGGGCATGGCCTCGCTGTGGGGGCATGGCCAGATAGAGCCATGCCCCATCTCCCATTCAGGACAGCAGTGGAGAACTGGGCGAGCCTCAGGACTCGCCCCCCTTTACCATCCCCCCTCTAATGGACGTCTCCGCTTTAATTTATGTTAATTTATGCTAATTTATTTAAATTGATTTCAAGGGTTTGCATTCTCTTCCGGTGCATGAGGATCGATGTGGCTACGCAAAAAAAAAAAAAAAAAAACAAAAAAACAAAAACAAAATTTACTGGAAGAAGCGCCGTGTTCATTCAACCAACAAACCAACCAACGAACTCGTAGCAAACAGGCGAGACAGACGCTGAAAAAAAGGAGCATTTCTATTGGTTGGGGCAGGGTTGAGGGCGGGGGCCTATTTTGGGGGGGCAAAACCCAGCGGATTTTGGCCATTTTGGGTCATTTCCCCCCCCCCCCCGTTTTTTTTGTGCATCTTTTCTTTCTCAGTCTGTGTTAACGGGGCACGGGGGAGGGGGTGGGGCTGAGCTCTCCCGATTGGAGGGTGGCGGCGCATTCATTTGAATGGTTAACGCGATGCTAATGTTCTCGCTTTGTTTGGGTCTTGTGTATGCTGGGCAGGGACCCTGACACCCCCCCTTTCCCTCTCCGGGGGCGTGGAAAGGAATTCCCATGATCCTCTGGGACCCGGGGGGTCTGGATGCCTGGGTTCCCTCCCAGGTCTGGAAGGAGAGTAGGCAGTAGTGGGTGGGGACAGGAGCCTGGATGCGTGGGTTCTCACCCTAGTTTTTAGGGGTAGATTTGGCAGGGGGGGGGACTGGGAGCCCAGAAGCCTGGGTTCTCTCCCAACCCCTGATAGGTTGGGGTGGGTGGGGCTGGGAGCCCGGATGTCTGGGTTCTCTCCTGGCCTCTGGCAGGGGGAGGGGCTGGGAGCCTGGATGTC